AAGCATGCGATAAGTAAGCCTTCGTAGGCGGGTAAGCGTGCCTTTGTTGACGCCTTTCTGACGTGGTAAGCGCGCTTCTGACGTGCATAAGGAACAGCTTATAAGTCGAGTTAGCGTGGCCTTCTGACCTGGTAAGTAAGTGTTTGTAATGCGGTAAGCGGCCGGTAAGCAAGGGTAAGTAAGTCTTGGTTAACGTGATAAGGGCGCTTCTAAAGGACGTACGCAAGCCCCTTCTAAGCGGGTAAGCTGCTGGTCAGCAAGCGTTTGTAACCCAGTAAGCTTGGACTTGTAACGAGGGTAAGTGGCCGCTTCTAAGTGGGTAAGCCAGTGTTTGTTGACGCGGTAAGAAGCGTGTTAACGTGGCCTTCTAAGCCAGTAAGTAAGTGTTAGTGACGTGGTTTGTAGCCTTTGTAGGGCGGTAAGTAAACGGTTGTTAAGGTGGACTGAGAGGTGCTCGTAACGTGCCAGTGACCAGGTAAGCAAAGACTTTGTGCACAAATATATAGGCTGAACGAATGGGCCAGTTAGACTTAGACTCTACCTTTATGATGGCCCCCGAGCTCTTGCCTCTGGCTAGGTGGAAGTAAATCTCCCGATAAGGCAGGTGCGGGCGCTTATTTGAGCGCCACCTGGGCGCTTAATGCCCGCCGAAGAGGCGCCGTCCACGGGCGCTTCTCGCGGCGGAAATAGGCGCCCATGGGGCCATCGCGTCTCGCACTCGCGCGCGCGCCCGAAATAGGCGCCCGTCGCGCGCGGGATTCGAACTCGCGACCTCACGGTTTTTTTTCTTTCGGCGGCCTCAGCAACCACTGCACCACGGAGTCTTGTCTGCCCTCCCGTGGCACACGGCCTATATGGCCATCTGGCTTCTGCTCCGGGGGAGGGGGGGAACCTGTGGGGTCGGGACATTTGGGCCCCTCTTTAGTCAGTCATCAGCGGCAGCCCTGCTCTAAGGCTGAGCACGGATCGATCCGCGGATCATCCGGACCCGGACCTACGGGTTTTGCGCGGATTTGGAGCCTGACCCGGATCCGGGTCCAGGTTACCTGCGGGTGTCAAGCGGTAAAAATGCGAAAAATGAAAATGTTAAAATTTTGAGGAACAAAGTATCTCGTAATGTACATATGCGTTATACGAGCAACGTTCAGCAACAGAAAAGCGAATCGGAGGTGAAACGGTCGAGATATGGGCGAAAGGAGGGGGAGGTCATGTACATATCTTGGGTTCCGGTGGTCCGTTCAGCACGTGAAAGACATCGTTCGAAAGCTCTGCTATACGCGAACGGAACGATATACGCTGTGAAGAAAACCGAAAAGAATTCAGCATGCTATGGAATGAACAACAACAGCCAAAAGCTCGACCTTGAATGAGATGTATCATTCCTTGCAGCGGGCGGATTTGGGAGAAAACGGAATCCACGGGGAGCGAATGCGTCCCATAACACGCGATGCGACAACAATGATGTGATTTGGATCAGTTCCGATTGAAATAGGAAGATATATGTGTGAAAAAAACGCGTAAACTGCACACAAAAGATACCATAGACATTGCAAAACATGACGTATGACGACGTACCTTGGTGATGCTGAATGCCCTGCATACCGCGCTCCAGACGCACCCATTCGCACCTGAATCCGTGCCGAACCGGTACAGGAAATGCGCAATCTGTGGGGGCTATAAGATCACTGAGTGGTCCTGTTGCCATTGGATGAGGCTTCTGAGCGTAGAATACAACAAGAAGAAGCAGATGATGGGTAGCCTAGTAGTTCCATAGATCAGCTAATAAAAAGCCCAGGTAGACAGTTTTGACAATTGAGCTAGTGGTGTAAAGCAGAGAGGTGATCTGTTCCGGATCTTCCCAGGTTGCAAACCCTGACCTGGATCCGGGCGTGATCCGGTGCCCGGATGACCCGGACCCGCGGGTCCGGCTCTTTCTGGGTCCGGGTCCGGGTTTTTCCGGATCTATCCGGGCATAGAGCCGGACCCGTGCTCAGCCTTAGCCCTGCCCTGTGGGCGCGCTGCGGTTTGTTTGCGCGCGTGGCCTTTTTTTTTTTTTTTTTTTCCTTCTTACGTTGCAACCACGACGCGGCCTTTCTTTCTTACTTGAGCCGTGACCATTCCAGTCCAGTCACTCACGCTCATTAGCTCACATTGGAAGTTTTCTGTCCCTCTTGAGTCTTTTCAGCTCGGTAATATCATATCATATCATATCCTATCGTATCGTATCGTTATCATCTTCGCTTTTTTCTTTTTTTCCCCTCTCAATCGACCTCTCCTGACCTCGGATGGCATCGCCACGCACCACTCCGTTGTCGCGATCGACCGACCGTTGTAGTTATGATGTATTGTAAACCGTTCATGCGCCCCCGCGCCGCATCCCATTAGGGACTCAGTGTAAGCCGGTTGTGTTCCGGCGCACTCAGAGACAGAACAGGAACGATGCTTGCGTTGCGCGAGTAAGAGTGAAGTACTGTACATGAGAGAGAATGCATGCGTACCTTGCGTTGCGCGAGTAAGAGTGAAGAAGAGCGCAACGCGAAGGTTCGCGGAAGTAAACTACGGGCGTCTAATATAACCATAATAGACCATAATAAGGGCGTGGCTGTAAGCTAGTGATGAGCGGGCTTACACTCAGCACGTGCAGGGCAGGCGTGCGGGCGGCTCGGCGTACATGACACAACACGGGCGTTGTGGGCGGCGGCCCATGGTGTGCGCGGTGCACGGACACGGAGACCCAGCGTGCACAGCGCAGACGTGCGGGGTGGCTCAGCGTACTCTGGGCGCAGGCGTGTGTGCGGTCGTCACACAGGTGGTGCACGTGTGTGTGTGTGTGTGTGTGTGTGTGTGTGTGTGTGTGTGTGTGTTTTCCCACCTTTTTGTATGCACCAAGTCACGCCCCAGGTGCACGCCAATAGTGCCGAATACCTTCCTGTAAAGTCTGATCAAACTCGGTGAGTTCCACTCTGGGTGTGCTTATGTGTTACCGAGAGGCGCAAATGTCCACCGCCGCATGGCGCGCGCGCGGCAGTTGTAAGCTTGCTTGTTCGCGTACGCTGCAATGCCTTCGCCTCCGCGAAGGATGTCGTCCCCGGAGCCTGCTGGTGGTGGTCTCTTCCTCCCATCACATCTTCCGTGCGTGTGCCTTGAGCCACTCGACGCGAAGAGAGTCCGGTCATGGACTTGTTTCCGTCCGCGTCGCTGCCGAGCCAGTACAATGACCTTCCGCGCGGGGGGCCAGGAGGTTGCTGTTGTCTGCGCTCGCATTTGCGCTTTGCCGCTTTAATGGGATTTTCCTCCTGCAGCCCTTGATCCTCCAACGGACGAAGCTCCGCCTCCCACGGCCCCGGTCCAGAGAGCGCGTCAATAAGGCTGAACATAGGTCAAACCCGTAGGATATCCGGACCCGGACCTGTGGGGTATTCACAGATCGGTAACTGCCGCCTAGAGCTGCATAGGAACTGGTATGTAGGCACCCGTGATCTGAAGATCTGTACCTAACACCTTACGGGTACACCTGAACATGACCTGGACCTACATCTCACCCCACAGGTAACTAGGCTTGATCAGGTTTGACAGGTCAATGTAGACAAACTCAAAGACCTTCAGTCAATATGGGCACTTGATTTCCTCACACCATTTAGAAAGGAAACACATAAGATATGTCATTGTTCGCAAACGGACAAGGCAAAATACATCATAAACTATATAAGCTAGTCTATCTCGATGACGGTTAGCCTGCGAGGATGAAGCACTCGCATTACCATTCTGAGAGGCAGCGGCACGGGCGACGCCGCCGCTCGGACCGGCCACCGGGAGCATCGCTGTCAGCAGCAGCGCCCGCAGCGCGAGGGGGGTGACGTGATGACGGATCTTGATGAACTCGATGAAGTCCTCCTCTGGGATGAGGTCCGGGATGTTTGCCCATGACCCGAGGACTGTGCTGGTACGAACAGACTCCTCATTCAAAAAATGGCGGAGGCGGGACACCGTGAGATGGCCATGCGAAAACGTGCGCTCAGCGTCGGTTGAAGTCGCTATATCAAGCGTCAGTATGTGCCACAGATAAACAGGAACAGGTAATAGATATCCACATACCGGGGGACCAACAGGAAATCGAGGGCCATGCGGGCCAACGAGGGGTCGCCGGACTGGGACATCATGTGCCAGTGCTCAAGCGGGTCCTTGACGTTGAGGAGCTTCAGGTTCTTCGAGATAGACCTCGCGGGCGTCCCTGGTGCCTTTGCCGGCGTTCGAGATTGACGCAAAGAGCGCGGTCGTCGCCTGAGAAGGTGTGTTAATCACGGACAGACTTCGACAAAGTTAAGTCCTTACGCTCTTGGTGTGGACGCCTGCGCGCTCTTGCGACCGGTCCCACGTCCTCCAGACGCTGTCGAAATGGAGCATCAGTATACTGTGGTACCTAGGGATATTGTAACGGCACGAGCCGCTACACGAGCCCTCGCGTTCCGACTCGCTTGCGAGTCATGGTCATTGACTCGTTATGGACTCTCTTACTTACTTTCCCCCTCCTCTCTCACTTGCCTGATCACTCGGACACCCTCAGACCCTCGTACTATACCTGCGCCCCCTTTCCTGATACTGTCTATGCTTCCCCAAACCTCCCTTGTCTCGTATTCCATTTCTCGAGTAACGGTCTCCTAGATTAGATTAGATTAGGCGCCTTCCGCATACGGTAGCTCTACCAGTCGTCTCTCGTTTACCCGCAGCCACCATCATGCCCAGGCACTCGCCGTGCCCGCGCTGGCTCTTATACCTGCTTAGTCACTCCTGTACCTCTCCGTCTGACCAACACCAGTACTCGCTGGCTTTCCCTCACTCGCTCGCCGCCTGTGCTCGCCTCGCCCGCCCTGCCTGCCCGCCGGCCGTTACAGATATGAAAGGCGAAGACGTACCGGCAGCCTTGCCCTTCCCCTTCGAAGACGGAGACGGAGCGGGGGCATCAGCAGGCGTTTCCTCGGGCTTCCTTGGGCGCCCGCCGGCTTATAGTACGCCCTCCACTCGGCGCGGAGGAGCTCGACGGCCTCGGTGATCCATTCCTCAGGCCAGTTTTCATCGCGGAAGTATCGCAATTTGTGCCCCGGGTGGAGGACTAGCCGACAAAGAGTTAGCTCAGACGTGACAAAGTAGAAGATTGATGACGTACTCATAGCAAGACGGTATATGATCGTCTCATCTGTGAGCGTATAGTACTTGTCGAGGATGACCCGTCCACGCTGCGCTGCGGCGCGCACTGAAGGCGCAAGCTTCTCGTCCTTGCGGAACTTGTCGACGAGGTTCGTCAAGATGTCCATATAAGGGATCACATCTTGGACGAGCGCGCGGTCGCTCACGGAGATCTTCTTGGTCGCGAACAAGAACGGCTACACAGAGAAGCATCAGTGAACTGGGCGCACATTTTGAGTGGGAGAGTATCTCCCACTCCTCGTCGGTGAGCAGATAGCGCCGCAGGCGCACACCTGACCGCTTGTTGAACTGTGCCATATTGCGCAGGTCGCCCGCGGTGATGCACTCAAGTCTCCCGTAACGGCCGCTAGGACGTCGGGGTCGATGGGCCGAGAGGACGAGACCCGAGAAGTGTCTTGTGTGAGCGGGGGGTTCCGAGTACGATCCCGAGCTCCCTACGACGCGGAAGGCGCGGGGATCGGGGACGCGGGCTTTGGGAGTAGTACTCACTGTACGCAACGAGGCGAGGACGTCAGGGATGTTGTCGAGAGGGAACTCGCTGGCGCTGTCGAAGTCGCAGTCGCAGACGCCGTCACAATCGCAAACTTGAGCTCTGAAGGGGTAAGAGAAAGTGGATTTCCCGGTGCTCGGGGCCCGCGTATATACAGGAGGGGCCGGAGCTGTACGGGAAGGATAAGAAATGAAAGGTGCACCCGTCGCGCTGTGCGCGACGGGCGCGACGATCGGGCCCCTACGGGGGCCGCGCTCTACTGGCCTTGCCTAGGCTGTCAGGGCCGCGCGTACCGCGCGGTGGGATTGGTGGGCGGGGGCGTATGCGCCGCGACCCCCGACGAGCGTATCGGGTGTTTCGTACTGCCCTCGAACCCCGATGCTTGGCGGGGCTTGGCGCTCTCGGTCGGGGCCGCTTATCGTGGTTCGCCTTGCTCGAATCGCGGGTAGCGAAATGGGGTGGTGCGTGGGCGCCCAGGCGGCCTTCTGGGAGGCTCGGGGCCGCGCGGGGCACGCGTCGGGGTGGTCTGAGCTCGAGAGCGGTGCCCACACCGCGGCGGGCGGCAGGCGCGGTGAGTGCGCATCAGCGGACCTCACACATCTCCAGTGCACGCTCTCCAGCACCTCTGTGACCGTGTTTCCAGCGAGTGTTGACCGCTCGGACGAGCACCTCACTGTTGATGTCGGCCGCTTTGGCGAGGCTCGTGAGCTCTCCGCGGATTGCGGGGCTGTTCCAAACCTTGCGAGACAGCGTGAGGATCTGTAGCGATTGTAGCAATTTGTCAATGATATGCAGCGCGCAACAGACGTGTGATACTTATAACTTACCTTGTTGAGCGCATTGCGTCCGTCGCGGATGTTATCATCGGTGAGCATGATCTCCACGATCTCGTCTCCCAGGGCGTCGAGGATGTTCTGGTCAGCGGCCTCGCGCGCGGAGCCTGCTTCATCTGCAGCCTCTGCGTCCTCCTCGTCTTGCTCATCGTCATCGTCATCTTGCTCGTCATCAGAGCCAGTTTGTGTGGCATTGGCGACGTGACGAGGCTTGGGCTTCGCGAACTGCGAGAGAATAGCCTATGTGAAAGATATCAGCGAAGAACACACACTGAACGGGTGCACTCACCTTAACAACAAGATTGAGTACGTGCCCGAAGCACCGTACGCGTACTAGTTCTCCATGGGACTTCGGCACGAGAACGTGCATTTCTTTGAGCATTGTAGTATTGCTCTCAGCGTTGTCGCAAGTGACCCCGAAGACCTGTCACAAGGGTCCTTGTCAGTACGCGAGCACACAACGGGTGGGGGCGCGGATACGTACCTTCTCCTTGATACCGAACTCGCGGAGAGCGTTGATGACACTCTCCGCAAGATGCTTTCCAACTTAGATCTACTCCAAGATATTCGGAGTCGGAAGAACGCTAGCACCGCATTGGCAAGTTTCGACTGAGAGACATTATGTGTCACCATTGTAGAACCAATTCAACACATAGCGATGTCTCACAAATATAGAGACCAGAAAACTGTGCGAGACACCAAGACAGGACAAGAATACTAGCAGACTGGGAGGCTGGAAGGGTAAGTACATGTTGAACTTCTGTGTCTACGGCTGTGCCGGACCGGGAGTGGCAGTGATAGTGGCTGTGTGTCTACCATACGCCAGCATGGACTTTCCCACTTACCATATACGTACATTCTTTTGTTCTGTACTTACTTGGCATTCTGCCATCCCTCCATATGATTCTGGTACGTTCTACGATGTTCCGGACTATTCTAGACAGCGTCCGGATTACTCGCATTACTCAGCCATGGACTATCTGACCTTATGTCGATTATGCTCCCTTACTCAGTGTTACTCATCGCTCAGTCAGCGTCCTCTGGACGTCACATGCCCTCTTCCTATACGCTTACTCATCGTCCTCCCCAGTAGCATATAAGGAGGACTCTGCAGGCCTCTGCTCTTCAGTCGTTCTCTCACAGACTGAAGACCTCTCTTTGTGCGGCTTACAGCCTTCCAGGTTCAGAGTTCATCAGGTTATGAGCCCTGCGCTCTAACCGGTTGCTATCTCTTGTCGACACCTTTGCGCGCGCCCCTCCT